TCATGATTTATATGTTTTTTCAAACAATAAAGTACCTATTGAATTCTCATATTATGTTTGGAATTTTAGTTTAGTGATTTTCCTGCTGAGTGTAAACTATTCTATGCAGTTGGAGAGTGGACATACTAATTACTAACTTCCCATCACTGCCCAGCACATGAACCTTTGTTCCATATACTTTCCCCAAATATTTTGCCATTACAATAGCTAGCAACTTGGACGTCATAACAACATGAATTGGAACAACCAACATTTTCTTCTTGATGTTAATTATTTTGTTTCTTTTCAGACGGAGTCTTGCACTGTTGCCCAGGCTAGAGTATAGTGGCATAATCTCAGCTCACTGCAACCTCCTCCTCCCTGGTTCAAGTGATCCTTCTGCCTCAGCCTCCTCAGTAGCTGCAATTACAGGCATGAACCACCTTGCCCAGCTGATTTTTGTATTTTTAGTAGAGATGGGGTTTCACCATGTTGGCCAGATTGGTCTTGAACTCCTGACCTCAAGTGATCCGCCCACCTCAGCCTCCCAAAGTGCTGGGATTACAGGTGCGAGCCACCATGCCTGCCCCCCAATATTTTCTTTTAAATTATTATGTCATGATTAATTTGGAGGGAAGCAGAAAAGACAGGAGAAAAGTCTTCACAGTGCAGGATGCGGTGGCTCATGCCTGTAATCCCAGCACTTTAGGAGGCCAAGGCGGATGGATCACCTGAGGTCGGGAGTTCGAGACCAGCCTGACCAACATGGAGAAACCCCATTTATACTAAAAATACAAAATTAGCTGGGTGTGGTGGTGCATGCCTGTAATCCCAGCTACTCTGGAGGCTGAAGCTGGAGAATTGCTTGAACCCAGGAGGTGGAGGTTGTGGTGAGCCGAGATCATGCCATTGCACTCCAGCCTGGGCAACGAGAGCAAAACTCCATCTCAAAAAAAAAAGAAAGAAAGAAAAAAAAGAAAAAGAAAAGTCATCACAGGCCATTTGTCTGGTTTGCGTGCTGAAGTGGATCCAGCTGGAGGGTTTGTTAAACCCCTGGGCTCACTCTAGCGATTATCCCATGACTGGTTGTTATCATGAAAACCTTACTAGTTCTGTCCACTAGGTGGCATTTTCAAAATTGAAAGTATAAACTTATTTTGCAAGATATGCTTTTGCCTAATTAGAGAATGATTCAAAGTTATAAGGTTGATGTCTAGTTTCAGAGAGGGTGCATCCTTTATGAAGAAACTAGACCCTTTAAGGACTCTCATTACTAGACGAGAAAGGTAGTATATTACATATTGCCAGGATATAATGGAGATTTCTGTTGCCAGCCGTCTGTCAGCTACAGAGAATCAGATGTCATCTGGGCTCATGTGCGACTTTTAATACAAATTTGGCAGAGGGTAGAATAGGGGTTTATCAGGATGCGAGGGAGAAAAGAGAGGGGCCTGTCATGAAGAAAGGCTGTGACCATGTACGTCTAAAGGATACATGAAAAAACCTTTTCTCAGCTGTAACAGTCCTGAACATTTTTCTTTTTTCTTTTTTTGACATGGAGTCTCACTCTTTCGCCCAGTGCAATGGCACCGTCTCGGCTCACTGCAACGTCCGCCTTCCAGGTTCAAGCGATTATCCTGCCCCAGCCTCCCGAGCAGCTGGGATTACAGGCACATGCCACCACACCAACTGATTTTTGTATTTTTAGTAGAGATGGGGTTTCACCATGTTGGCCAGGCTGGTCTTGAACTCCTGACCTCAGGTGATCCACACACCTCAGCCTCCCAAAGTGCTGAAATTACAGGCATGAGCTACCATGCCCGGCCAAAAATATTCTTAAGAAATAGGGAGGATGTCTGGGACCCGAAAGGATTTTGTAAACGAGCAGTTAGTGATTTCAGAAACTGCTGGATCTCCCTCAGAGAAGGTCCAAGTTCAGGAAAATGTTGAAAGATACCCTCTGAAAGCAGCAAATGAAGAGCAGGGCTGGGGCTTAGGGCGAGGCAAGTGAAGGAACTGGTTGTGCACAGATGCTCACCCACAGGATCCTCCAAGTGCAGATATATAGAATATAGAACTTTTTAGTCGGGAGCAATGGCTCACACTTGTAATCTCAGCGCTTTGGGAGGCCAAGAGAGGATCATTTAAGCCCAGGAGTTCAAGACCAGCCTGGGCAACATAGTGAGACCCCATCTCTACAAAAAAAAATTTAAAAATTAGCAGGGTGTGGTGGTGTGGGCCTGTGGTCCCAGCTGCTTGGGAGGCTGAGGTGGGAGGATCACTTGAGTCCAGAAGGTCAAGGTCACAGTGACCTGAGCTGGCGCCAACTGCATTACAGGCTGGGTGACACAGCAAGACCTGTCTCAAAAAAAAAAAAAAAAAAAGAAAGTAAGAAAAGAAAGGTTATATTTAATTTAGTTAATTGGGTTTTTTGAAATGAGGGTCTCTCTCTGTCACCCAGGTTGTACAGTGGCATGATCAAAGTTCACTGCATCCTTAACCTCCTGGGCTCAATTGATCCCCCCACCTCAGCCTCCCGAGCAGCTGGGACCACAGGTATGTGCCACCATGTCTGGCTAACTTTTATATTTTTTGGTAGAGTCAGAGGTCTCCCTATACTGCCCAGGCTGGTCTTGAACTTCTGGCCTCAAATGATCCTCCTTTCTTGGCCTCCCAAAGTTCTAGGATTACAGACATGAGCCACCATGCCCAGCCAAATAGAACTTTCCTACAATTCAGTCTTAATTTATGACCTTGAGTCCCCATCCTGCCTGAAGCAGAAAACAATCTTGTTAATCTAAGGCAAACTAAATCAAATTCAATTATATCTCAATTCATGTTTAAAACACCTTAGTTCACATTTCTTTCTACTTGATCTTTCTTCCTTTTGAAGTTAATATTCCTGGGAAGGGGGTTAAAAATGCTACCAGGGTGGTTGTAAGAGTGAGCAGAGGTTGTGACATTCTCAGTCTCTACCTATCTGGTCATCTCTGCTGACTGATTTTATCTTCTTTCTTAATATTTTTGCTTTATGAGACATAAACCGCTTTTGAACTTACAAACCAAAATTTACTGACTTTCATTTCTGACATTCCACAGCGATGTCCCCACCCTCCACTGTTGTTTTCTCAAAGCAAGGGGAGATTCAGAACTAACTTTAGGTTGTGGAAAAATCTCTTCTGGAAGAAACAACAACAACAAAAATGTGATGATGATCTAGAGGGTAAGGAAATGCACATTAATATTTGAAATATTATAGCCCACTCCACACGCAGAGAAAGACACATGCTACGAGCAGCCTGTGTAAGGGGGTTTGTGAAGCTGGGCATCTGAAAGCACCCACAGGCATTGGAGCCCCTCAATGGGAGCCAGACAGCATCTGTGTGAGAGCAGGCTGGATGCGGGCTCACTAGAAGGCGAGTTCCCTGAGAACTCCACCAAGGAGGTACAAAGTGAAGAGGAAGTTTTTCAGATCTCAAGCTCATTGACTTCATATCTGACTATAAAACATCTCCATAGGGCAAGAGCATATTATGAAAAGAATTCCTTTTGTTTTTTTTTTGAGACGGAGTCTCGCTCTGTCACCCAGGCTGGAGTGCAGTGGGGACATCTCGGCTCAGTGCAAGCTCCGCCTCCTGGGTTCAGCCATTCTCCTGCCTCAGCCTCCTGAGTAGCTGGGACTACAGGCGCCCGCCACAACGCCTGGCTTTTTTTTTTTTTTTTTGTATTTTTAGTAGAGACAGGGTTTCACTGTATTAGCCAGGACGGTCTCGATCTCCTGATCTTGTGATCTGCCCGCCTCAGCCTCCCAAAGTGCTGGGATTACAGGCATGAGCCACCACGCCTGGCTTATGAAAACAATTCTAAGTGTCTGTGTTAGATTCCTAGGCTCTGTAGCAAATTATCACAAACTGGATGTCTTTTTTTTCTTCTCTCTCCCTCCCTCAAAGTGTCTTTACACTTTTTGTTTTTTGTTTTTCTGGGAAACAGTCTCACAGTGTCACCCAGACTGGAGTGCACTGCTGTGATCACAGCTCACTGCAGCCTCCACCTCCCGGCCTCAAGCAATCCTCCGACCTCAGCCTCCTGAGAAGCTGGGATTACAGGCATGTACCAACATGCCCTGTTAATTTTTAAATTATTATTATTTTTTACTTTTTTTGAAACAGTCTAGTTCTATCACCCAGGCTGGAGTGCAGTGGTGGGATCTTCGCTCACTGCAACCTACATCTCCTGGGTTCAAGTGATTCTCCTGCCTCAGTCATCCGAGTAGCTGGGACTATAGGCGCACACCACCTTGCCTGGCTAATTCTCGTATTTTTTTGGTGGAGACGGGGTTTTGCCATGGTGGCCAGGCTGGTCTCGAATTCCTGACCTCAAGCGACCCACCCGCCTCAGCCTCTAATTTTTTTTTTTTTTTTTTTTGCTTGTTTTTATGGAGACAGGGTCTGCTTATGTTGTCCAGGTTGGTCTTGAACACCTAGCCTCAAGCAATTTCTCCCATCTTGACCTCCCAAAGTGCTGGGATTACAGGCATGAACCACCAGGCCCGGCCCTGGGTGTCTTTAAACATCAAACATTTGTTCCCTCACAGTTCCGGAGGCTAGAAGTCCAAAATTGAGGGGTCATGCTCTCTCTGAAGGTCCTAGGGGAAGAAACTTACTTTACTTTTTTTTTTCTTTTTGACTTAAACAACATTTATTTCCCACAGTTTTGGAGGCTGGGAAGTCCAGGATCAAGATGCCAGCAAATTTGGGGTCTGGGGAGGGCACTCTTCCTGGTTTGCAGATAGCAGTTGCCTCATTGTATCCTCATTTGGTGGAGAGCTGAGAGAGCAGTAAAATCCCTCCTTGATTCTTCTCAGGTTTTGGTAGTTGTTGGCAATCTTTGGCATTGTTTTGTGGACGCATGACTCCAGTCTCTGCCTCCTTTAGCGTTCTTCGGCTGGGCACGGTGGCTCACTCCTCTAATCCCAGCACTTTGGGAGGTCGAGATGGACAGATGACGAGGTCAGGAGATCGAGACCATCCTGGTTAACACGGTGAAACCCTGTCTCTCCTAAAAATAAAAAAAATCAGTCAGGTGTGATGGCACGCACCTGTAGTCCCAGCTACTAGATAGGGCGAGACAGGAGAATTACTTGAACCTGAGAGGCGGAGGTTGCAGTGAGCCGAGATCACGCCACTGCACTCCAGCTTGGGCGACAGAGCGAGACTCGGTCTCAAAAAAAGAAACCAAAAAAACTATACAGTGTTCTTCCCATGTGTCTGTGTCTCTGTGTCCAAATTTTCTCTTCTTATTTCAACAGTCTCTGGATTAGGGCCCATGTTAAACCAGTATGACCTCATCTTGACTTGATTGTACCTGCAACCACCGTTTCTTTTTTTTTTTTTTTTTTTTGAGACGCCTTGTAAGCCATGCCCTTGTAATCCCAGCACCTTGGGAAAGCCAAGCGGGCATGGTCACCTGTGGCAGAGTTCGAGACACCCGGCCAACATAAGAGAAACCCTCTCTTACTAAAACCAAAATTAGCCCAGCATTGGTGTGGGCCCGCCCTATAATCCCCGGCTCTCAGGAGGCTGAACAGGAGAATCGCTGAACGCAGGAAGGTGGAGTTTTCGTGAGGTGAGATGTCACGCACTCCAGCGTGAGCCGACACAGTACATGACTCCCATCTAAAAAAAAAAAACAAATCACTTCATAAATGTTATTTATAGTAAAATAGTACCATTTAGCCAGGCATTTCGGCTCCATGTGTAAATTCCAAAGACCTGAAGGGAGATGGGGAGGATGCTGAAGGCAAGGAATTCCGAGAGAGCCTGGGGCAAACATGTATGTCCAGGCCCGCCTCGCAAAAAAAAAATTAAACAATTTACCCCAGGCCATGGGGCACACGGAGTGCAGTGGCTCAATCTCAAGCCACTGCAACTCCGCCATCCTGGTCAAGCCGATTCAATTGTGTTT